ATCAACAAAAAAAGAAAATTCAATAGAAATCAAATATCCGGTACAAAAAATTGCCTTACAGTGTGTCCAAACTATGGCTGAGTCAAGTGAAGCCAACTAATTAGGGAAATATTTATAACAAATGGCAGGCGTTTTGATAGTTATCATTAGCCCTTTAGTTGACTTCGGGCTTCACAGAGGGGAGGAGGAACATCAAAGTGAGAAGAATTCAGGAGGGGGAATAGAAGGGTGTTTCAAAGATGTAAAGGAACAGACACAAAGGCTCAGAAAGGGTAAGATGAGTAGTGGTAGGGGTCGAATATGACATACAGTGGGGGTGATGGTTGTTTGAAGTGAGAAGTCAACTGCCGATTAATAGACTTTTTTGCCGCATGAGTATACGTTGCCCAGGGTGCCCCACGTGGGGGTAAGTCTATCGCCCGCCCCCTAATTAGGGAAATCGATTTAGTTAGAATAACTTCTTTCCCACAAATCTCCACAATCTTCGTCTACGTAAACGCCAACGCTAGTCCCTTCATCCTTACTGGTGCTTATAGATAGAATAACTCAACGTGATAATTACACTAATTAGAAATGAACGATTTGGAATGGATAATTAACTTTGTGGGGCAATAATCTAGAGAAATGAAAGCATACCGAGAGCATTTGAGATTGTGTTAGGAACGGTTCAGACCATAAAGGTAGAATATGCGCCTTACATGAGATTTCTCATCTCTCCATAAAAGTCAAGGTTTGCAAATGGTTTGCAAAATGAGTTCAGAGGTTTTAGCTGGGTCATGCCACTGAAAGCATTCAAAAGTAAACTGAATATAACGTGTGTAAGATGATGTTATCCTACTTGTGACACATTGTCTTCTTTTGACCAATTTCAGTTTTATAAAGCAACGAAATTATATCCTAAGAAAAGTCATACTGCAGAAAGAACTGAAATCGAAAATGGTACAGAAGGTATCTATCGAAATTTGAACCCATTCTAGGCTAAATATTCCGGAATTCGTATCACCAACAACATTCTTAGCTACGACATTGTAGCGATAGCTTTAGACATTCCTATCTTACATCAAACGAGTAATAGAAGCAGAACTGAAATAACTCTAGAAAAAAGTGTTTTCATAATACCTACTAAATTCATTTAAGCAGAATGAATCACAGACCATTCCAACCGCAGTGGAACCAGTGAAGCCAATCTGACGAACAAGGGGATGTGAACAGAAGACCTTGCCCACTTTATCAGCTTCATTAGCTGGTACAGGGAGGATGCTTAGGAGTCTAGGATCAAGACCAACGTCGGGAGAAGTTGCAAGGTGGACAGCTGCGAGGGCAGTCAAAGGAGTTTCATCAGACGGTTTCAATACAACAGAGCAGCCAGCAGCAAGAGCAGCGCCAGCTTTTCGAGTAAGCATTGACAAGGGGAAGTTCCACTAGAGCAGAAAAAAGCAAGATAATAATAGGCTTCCATGCATATCATAATCATGGCAATCAAGAACATCGAGCTTACAGGAGTAATCATGGCTACAACACCAACAGGCTGATGAATGACCATCAAACGACGACCGTGGACATGAGTTGATGGGATTATTTTTCCGTAAGTGCAACGTGCTTCGTTAGCATACCATCGCAACCCTTCAATTGCTGAATTGATTTCGCCTCGTGCATCAGTATCTACCTTGCCCTAAAATAATCTCATATTTAATAAGTAAATTTGTTCCTACTTAAGTATAATTCAGTAATAATAAAGTTACGTTTTCAGCCGTGATAAGTTGAGCAAGTAGAGTTGTATTCGACTCAAGTGAGTTTGCCCAATTCTCAAGAACTCGAGATCGAACTCCAGCGGGCAGAGTAGACCAGGATTTTTGGGCCTCATCGGCTTCTACGATAGCGATGTCCAAATCTTCCTCTGAGGAGGAACTTGGCACATCAGCAATCTTTTCTTCATTTGCAGGATTGTAGACTAAAGAAGAGGAGAAGTAATACAGGAGTCTAGAATTTACTTTAAACTGTGATGCCATCTAACAATAATAAGCGAGATAATTCAATCACAAATTGATTTTTTTTGCAAATAAGGGACGGGTTGAAATCGCATTCCGGCTTATGGATGATGATGAGAGAAGCATGACTTCCCCCCACTTTTACTAAATTAACTGAAACACTAGCCAGAGACTATAATGAAACAAGAAATCGCCTTAAACTTTGTAAAGTGAGGGAGTAAAATGTCCTGATATTGTTCAGGAATATTAGATGAACAAGAATACCAAAAACAGAAGCCAAGGTAAATTATTAATCATACAGTACTTACAAGAATAAAGCGCGTTTTTTAATGTGATTTAAAGGGCCAAGATCCAGTAAAAAGAGGAAGAGAAATCAGTGGAAAAAGCAAAAAAATGTGGCGAAAAACGATGGTAAGTATTAAACCTGATATGAGAGTGAAGCTGCGTTGGTTAAGCTGTAACTTTAGTTGGCATGGCAGGTTAAAGATGGTCTCAGAAATCTAAAAAAACGCATAGAAAATAAGAAAAATGTGAAAGTTTATCTGGCGCCGTAGGATTATCAGATCAACCGCCTTTAGATAGGAAACAGCTCGAATAACAATTGCAGTTAGCTTTGCTAAGTAGGTATTAGCATAGTAAACTGATTTATTAAAGAAAAATAAGCATTCCAAGCCAATTTAAATTAATTGCTGATTACACAGATCTCCTACCTGGAAACATTTGACCACTCGATCCAGCCCTCCACGTTCCACCAATGAGAGCTTTCCCCTCGGGAATTAATGATCGCCAGGCCTGGCTTGACAGACACCGGCGGATTGGTGGCAAGAGAGCAGCAATCAAAGTAGTCATAACGACGCTAGAAAATCGTCCACAAAGGGGGAAGAAAAACAGGAATGATGTAAACATGCCCAACGGTATTATTATTATTATTATTCGATTTTCACCTCAAAGACCAAGCTTCACACACAAAATGGCCAATATGTAGCGTCACCATCAAACTAATGAAAAAGGAGATCAAATATGCTTGTACGCTACTTTATTAAACGAGTAACAGTCATATAAATATGTACATATACATTGGAAAATTGGCAAAATTTGATTCATTTTGAAGAAGCTGCCTGTCGTATCTGACGTCTTGCATTTGCCAAATCATTCAAACGCGATGCCCATTCTCTATAGGCTACAACTTTGTCCTTTTTCAGCTAAAATTAAAGTAAACAAGTCAAAATGTGAGGTTAAAGGTAAAATATGAACTATACATCTTGACTTATTCCGAACACACGGAGAAAAATTAAAATTTTACATCAGAGAAATGAAAAGATTTTAATCTTTCTGAGTAATTAAAATTCATTTATTTCATTTCAATTGAATTTTAACCCTGAATAAAATAAAAAAAATAAGTAGAATGGGGATGTTTGATTCTGGTCAATTCCAATTGTGAAAAGAGTAGAACCTTAAAAAGCCCGGAACTATCTAACAAAAAATATTTCTGCCAATGAATATGCTTCGAAGTAGAAAGGAAGAGTAGCTTGTATATTAGTGGATTGGGCAAATATACAAATTACCAAAACACAATAACTGGTATGCACTTAAAGCTCGAACAAAGGAGAAACAGTGGACATTGACACTCTCCGATATAGCCGACTGGCCAAGAATCGAAGCCGTTGCTAAGTTTAGACTACGTACCGGACACGATTGCTTGGCAAAACATCTTCACAGATTGGCAGTATACACTCAACCCACATGCCCTCTATGTAACCTACATAAGGAAATGGAGAAGACCCACCTGATTCGATGTCCAGCCCTAAAGACAAGGACGGAAAGCCAGAGATACTGGGAAGCAAGAAGACGGCTAATGAACTACTATTAATTAACTGCTATAAATGTACCCCCCACCCTTGGGGGAAGCTGAAGTCAAAGTTTAAGGGCTAATGATAAATATCACAAAGCCTGCCATTTGAAATAATAATAATAATAATAATTGGTATGCACTAAAGACACATCAAGTGGTCCGACAACTAACTAAAATACCAGGAGACGCTTACATTGGGATGAATGATCTCTTTGACCACTTCCTTGGTGGATACGATCTTTGACCCGGCACCAGTACCGCCTTCATCACTGGGCAGAGTGCCAAGAGGCTGACCTCGGCCAGTTCCGAAAATGGCCGCTTCATGGGCACGTTCGCGCACCAACGTGTCATATTCTCCACTAGTGCCTGTCACTNCCCCCCCCCCCCTCCCCACCCAGCCTATGGTTATTTCCATTGCTACCTCGATATTGTCGCTGGTATTGCTCGCAACATTGTTGTGGCTAAAAGCGGTAAACAACTGTTCCAAAACGCTGAATGCAAAGGGTTGTGTAGGCCAGTGTGCACGGAGTAAACCCCACTGCGGATTCAGGAGGATAACAAAGGAAACATACTAGCAGATATGTGACAAGTGTGCTTGTGGGAGAGGGTGTAAAGGCAACGGGAATGAGTCACTTATTGATGATTTGCTTAAGAGTACGAGAATGTGGTGTACTGTCGGATAAAATGAGAGAGTTGGAGAAAAAAAATCCCCAAGATCGGTTTGAGTGCCAGGGTCGTAGCGTCCATGGACTACCAAACTCGTTTGACTTGTAGGTTTCTGGTGCAGTTTGCAGAGCATGTGGAAGTGTTGTGGTATTTGAATAAAATAGCATATGTATATGGGAATCACAGGTGGGGTGAAATTAAATGAATTTAAGTTAAGTGAGAGTGCTGCTAATACTACATACATCCTTGTGTTGCGACAGTCCAATGCGGATTTCGTTTTCAGTAAAAAATCAGGCCAATTTTCCACATTTTTCCGATCATTCAAAACAGGCTAGGTTATTCTTCTGTTCTTATTAAGCTGGTCTTCTTGGTAAATGCTTACACATTACCACTTGAAGTCATTTTTAAACACAACACTCATCATCGCAAGCGCACCTTACAAGTGTCATATCGGTGAAAGTAGGTCATGTTCAAGGAGGGGGTGTGTGTGTGCGCGCGCGCGCGCGTTGTCACAGTGTTTGCACTTATTCAAGCACCACACTCATCATCACCCTGCGCACAAGAGCCATGACCAAAACAATAAACTGCTGGCAGGGATCCGTTCGTTGTAATCTCTTACCCCGGCTACATGTCGGCGAATTTTCATTAATAGTAAATATTACACTAATAGAAGTACACTTAATGATGGAGTAAGATGGGAACCAGTTCAGTGACAATGTAGTTGATTGGAGATTGTACGCGCGGGGTGAAGATAGTCGTCTTTAGATGAGCAAAAATAAATCAGCTGTTAGTTTAAGAGTGAATTAGAGCTGTGTGTGTGTGTGTGTCTATTTAAACCAATAGGATAGATGCAACGTTTGCACCATTCACTTCTTTTTCTGAGGTAGTGGTTCTCGTCCACAACGGCATAATTTGAGAACATGTGTGCTGAACAAGTTTGTGTGGCACCAACTATTACCATTGTTACTTAAAATATGATTGCCTTCCCAATGAAGCATGGCAAGTAAACAATATCCCATATATTGAAATGAGGGTGTGCGATAGACTCACCTCCACGTGGTGCACCCTGGACAGCGTATCTTCATACGACAAAAAGTCTATAAACCAACCGTTGACTTCTATTTATTATGATTAGCTTGAAACAAAGCTACAAAAGAAATCGCCCTCGTCAGGGCGAGTCACAACGTCTACGGATCCTTCAGTGGAATGCTGGGGGGATGTCACAGGACAAAAAGATCC